GGGGAGGCTCCAGGATGGGTGGGGGCCCGAGGAGGGGGTGTCACCAGCAGCAAGTGCAGCCCAGGGAGCTTCTGCTTCCCTCTTCCTTAGGATAAATATTTATAGGTTCATTTGCCGTCTGCCATACACACTTGGCTGCCTACCTCCTGGTAAAAATAGTGCAAGCTCCCCACTCCTGCCCTCCCCCTCCCCATCCAGGGCAGGGGACAAAGGGGACCGAGTGAGGCCTGTCCCCTGTAGGCCGGGTGGAGAAAACCTGGTGTCTTGGAGCCAGCTGGCCACCCTAGAGGTGGAGTGGGACAGCGTGATGGTGAGGGGTCCTGTTGCTGAGCTGTGAGGCAGATCCCCACATTGATGCTGGGGGACTTGGGTGTGGGCAGCACAGACTTGGGGGTGTGGACAGACATGGGTGCTGTAGGCATCCGACCCAGGGAGGGGTTCAAGGCCCTGAAGCAAGGCAATAGGACTGAGAGGACTGGGAGGAGGTGAGCAGCCCTACCTCTGGGGATGGGATGGGCTAGAATTATCCAGTCCCCTCTGGGCCACTTGAGCTGTACATGCCAGCAGCTGGCTACACGCAAGGATCTGGCTGGGGCCACTGGACATTGTGTATGTCGGGGAGAGCTATCTGTGTGTAGAGTGGAGGGAAAGTCAAGTCCGCTTTGGGACGAGGCCCCTGGCAGACAGTGTGGCCATTCCTGTCTGGGTAGGCCCCTCTGACCTTCCAGGCATGTCGCTCCATTATACTGAGAACTCTAGTGACCAGAGACAGGGCAGCAGAGCCCACAACTCAGACACGGCCTTCTTGTAGTAGACTCGCACTTTGATGGAGGAGTGTGACCAGGTGCAGACAGTGGGAGCTCACTACGTGGATGGATGGACAGATGGACAAGTACACGTGGAGCCAAGGAGGCAGAGGTTGAGGCCTACTCTAATCCCCTGAGCTGTGGCAGAGCTGGGTGTGGGTGTGGGTGGGGGTGTGTTGAAGGGATAGTGGACCTCCCTGTCCCTGAGGGGTCACTGTGCATCCACTCTTGGTGCTGTGGCAGGCCCAGGCTGTATGGTGGGTGGACTGCCATGTGCCCTCAGAACTCTCAGGGGAGTCTAGTCAGGGGCAGACCTTGGGCCACATGGCCATGCAGGAGGCAACGGCACTCAGGTGGCCTAGTTCAAGTTTCCTGCTCTTGGTGTCATGCTGGCACGTTCAGGGATTAGGCGCTGTAACCCCAGCTTCTGGGCTTTCCCCTAGGGATCTAAGGAGCCCCAGTCTGATCCAGCTGGGACCAGCCAGATTTTCTGGGCTGTAGGAGCTGGCCAAGGCAGAGGATGAGTGAGGTCCTGGCCCAGGAAGGCTTGTGAGGAGCTCTGTGCTTGGACGGCCACTACTGCGACTTGGGGAAGGAGTGGCAACAGGAAATGGCCAGAGAGGCCAAGGGGGGCTACAAAGAGCCAGGGAAGACCTGACGGGGAAGGCTTCGAGGAAAAACAGAGGCTTCCGGGAATGCCCCGGTGGCTGGGAGAAAAGGAGAAGCTGTCTGCCCCCTGGTGAGCAAAGGTTGCAGTCAGGGGGGCCCAGAGACTCATCCTGGCAGAAGGGCTGCCCAGGGTTGAGATGCGTGGTGGGAAGGGGACCAGCCACACACTGCTGGGCAGCAAGGCAAGAGGTGTGCACAGTCTGGGCCCTGGCCTCAGCTGGCCCACCCCACCCCATCCCTGGGCATGGGCGCAGAGGGATGCTCACGGGGGAGGAGAGCTGCAGCAGTGCAGCGCGGTCGCTTGCCAGGTCTCCCCATGACCAGCCCCTAACCTTCCTATGCCTCAGTTTCTGTGTGTGTCAAAGTTTGTAGCTCCTCACAGAGGAAGTACTTAGGGCCAAATCAGCCCAAGAAATGCTTCCAGGCACCAGGTGCTAGAAAGAAGGCTGCCCCTTGTATTTGAAGTCATTCATTCATTCATTTGCTCATTTCCAGAATACTTTTTTTTTTTTTTTTTTTTGCTATAGGGTGCCGTCGCCATAGAGAGTCAGAGAAAGGGAAAGTAAGAAATCACCCTCCCCTTCAGGGTGATTTCAGTCTCTTCTCCATTCTTCTCCTGGGGTTTTAGGCAGGCATGAACACACATACACCCAATTTGATTTTCAAGCCGCAAGGTCCGGGACCTGAGCCATAGTCGGCCATATGGGAATCCAGCACCTTAATCACCATACCACCTTCTTGCCCTGACAAAATGCCTCTTGAACCACCTGCCAAGTGCCAAGCACTGTGCTAGGCTCTGAGGATAAAGTGATTTGCATGTGCAGCCCTGGAACCGGCACATCAGGCAGTCTCAGGGCAGCTTGACTGAGTTGTGATCCATCAGGAGACCTGTGGCTCAGGGGATGCGGGGCTGTTAGGGTGGGCAGGCGGGCTGCACACCTCTGACCTCTGTGCCCTTTCAATCCCACAGCTGAAGGCACCCGGTGCTCCGACCCACCTGCCGGCAAGCCCGCAATGGCAGCCAAGCGCAAAGGCGGCCTGAAGCTCAATGCGATCTGCGCCAAACTGAGCCGCCAGGTGGTGGTGGAGAAAGGAGCAGAGGCAGGCCCCCACACCGAGGGCAGCTCACTGCAGCCCCAGGACAAAGAACGCAGTGGTCCCGAGTCGGGGGTGGCCCGGGCCCCGCGTAGCGAAGAAGACAAGAGGAGGGCAGTGATCGAGAAGTGGGTCAATGGAGAGTACAGCGAGGAGCCAGCACCCACACCTGTGCTGGGGCGGATTGCCCGGGAGAGCCTGGAGCTGCCACCTGAGGGTGTCTATATGGTACAACCCCAGGGCTGCAGTGACGAGGAAGACCATGCACAAGAACCCTGCAAGGATGGCAGCATCCTGGAAGAGAAGGACTCGGATGGGGCAGCTTCCAAGGAGGACAGCGGCCCCAGTGCCAAGCAGGCTTCAGGTGGGCATCTGGCCTTCAAAGAGAGGGTGAAGGCCGGGGCAGGACACAGCCCCCTGGGGAGACCCAGCAGGGAAGGGGCAGTGAGTCCACAGAGCCACACCCTCTTCCTCACTCCTGCTGCAAATACAGCTCCTCATGTAAGCCAGTGGGCACTCCTGAGGGGTGTGGGGGACAGCGGGAGGAAGGGATGGGGTAGAGAAGACAGCTTCCCAAACCTGCAAGCAGAGGGGGACACAGGGCAACACAGGGGGTCTTGGGTGAGGATGGAGGGAGGGACAGGGTGGGTTGGTGACTTGGTCATCTGCAGAGGGACAAGCCTGTCGGAGCCATAGTACCTGGTCACCAGTGTGCACAGCAGTGGTCAGCACGAGAATGACACGAGCTCATAGTCTGCAGATGCCATTTCTCAGGGAGGGTTCTCTGAGAAGCCTAGAATAGGGCTGTCCTCACACCCCTCCCCAGCCTTCTCTTTCCCCGAGCCTCTGTCCCCAGCCTCCCAGCCAGGACTCCTCAGGACCACGAGGCTCGCTGGCCAGCCAGTATCTCCCCTTACAGCCAGCTGCTTGGACTTGGTCCTCTGGCTGACCCCGTTCCCATGAGATGGCTGCGGCCCGCTTTGCTTGTGTCTCCTTGTCCTTAGGACTCAGAGCAGAGCGAGTTCCTGCTCTAGGGACGGGCTGGCCTGGGGTTTCAGGAGGGAGGTCACCTGGGTTTGGAACCTCAGGGTCTGTGCTTTTTCTCTGGGCCCACAGCCTCGTTCCCCAGCCTGTGCCTGGTGCCCTGAGCCTCCCCTGCCCGCTCCCCTAGCCCCTTCCCCCTGCAGTGAGGGGCGCATCTCCTCCCTGTGCGGGGAGCCCTGCGCAGCCACATAATTATGCATATAAGATATAAACAGAGCTGTTTAATTATCCTTCGCCACATCAGTGACAGAGTAATTAACAAACATTGCAAGATCAATGAGGAAAAGTGTGACCTTCAGTTTCCTCTGATAGGAAAAGCCCTTGCCGTTCCCAGACACAAGGTGATTATGCTGGGCCTGAGGAGAGGAGAGGGACAGGGAGGTCCACTGTCCCTTCAACACACACCCCCACCCACACCCACACCCAGCTCTGCCACAGCTCAGGGGATTAGAGTAGGCCTCAACCTCTGCCTCCTTGCCTCCTGGGCAGTGGAGAATGGGGATGGCAGGGGACAAGGTTTGAACTGCCGGTGGCCTAGTGGCCCCAGGCCATGCCCCTGAGTCCTGATCACTGGAGAAGCCAGCCGCCCCAGCCACCCACCGTGGGCTGGGCCCCAGGGCTCAGGAATGCAGGCCTTGGGCTGCCTCTGGGACCCCCGCCTGGCCCCCTCCCTGCTCTGAGCTGCCTGCCCTTCAAAGCCTTCTGTTTCTCTGCCATATATAGCGAGGACTCAGCTGCCTCCAGCTATTTATTTCCTTGGTCCCTGAGCCACTGAATCCAGCAACTAGAGCCCACTCCTCCCCGGCTGGGCCCCCAACCCCATGTAGCTTGAGATCAGGATAATGGCTAACCTGCTGGTCCTGGCCCAGGGAACAGCTGTCTGTTGGCTCCTTGAGTCACTTTGCCCACTCTGGGTGCCAGGTAGCTGCCTGTGACTGTCACCTCCTTACCTAGTGGGGTTCCTCTCCCCCAGGACTGCTGCCCTGCCTCCCAGGAGCTCAGCCCTTCCTTCCGTGTTCTGCTAGGCCTCCTCTCCTGCCCAGGCCCACCATGCTCCCTCAGACCCCCTCAGGTGTACCCTGGGAATCTCAGACCTGGGTTTGGGTGGGGGTCAGGAGGAGACCCCTTCAGCCTGGGGTCCGTTTGAATGGGGGTCAGGAGAAGAATCCTTCGGCCACACCTTCTCTAGCCTAGGGCCCCACCTTTCAGAGTATGCCCAAGTCTGGCTCCCGCAGGAGGAGAGAGGACGTGCCCCGGAGCTATGCGGGTCTCGCTGTCCTGATTCCAGGTGTAGCACGTGGTGGGTGTTTCGGGTGTGTTCAGGGAAGGGTCGTCGTGCTTGTGTGCTCTGGGCAGTCAGGTGTCTGCCGTGGGAAAGCTGTGCGTGGAAGAGGGATGTCCGAAAAGAAAAACTTCAGCATGCAAGTGGGATCATCTTCTGGTTGTCCTCTTGGGGAACTGGGTTGGGGCTTGGGAGGTTGTGCACATGTATATGTCTGTAGAGTTGGGGAAAGTAAGGCTGTGAGTCCGAGTGTGTGTGCGTGTGTGTCCAGGGTGTGTATGTACGTGTGTGAAAGCATATGTAAAAGAAGTGTAAGTCCGCTTGTGTGAGTGATGTGTGGCACGCGTGATTATCCCGGTGAGGAGGTCTCTCCAGGATCCCCAGGTGCCCTGGGGTGGAGGCGAAGTGGGAGCCCACTCAGGCCTGCTGCCCTGGGCCCACTCGGGCTGGCCTGTCCCACCTGCCTAGGCTCCAGCTCTCGCCAGGTTACCTTCCCTTATGTGTGAGCACAAGTGACTGGAGGGTGATCGGGGAGTTTGGAGGACTCATCTCTGTTGTAGATCTCTTTCTCTCACTTTTTTATTTTTAATTTTGTTATGGGGTGTGTACTTGCCAGAGAGCAGAGAGAGACACAGGTAGGAGTCTGTGAGGAAGCCTCTCTCCCGGGGGTTGGCCACGCCACGGTCCCCTCTCCTCCATTCTCCTCCTGGGATTTGGGGCACACGTGCACACATGCCCAGCCTGTTTCTCAAGCCTTCAGGTCTGGGACTCAAACTGTGCAGTTGGCCATGTGGAATCCAGTGCCTGAACTACCATGCCACTAGCTGGCCCCAGGGTATAGATCTTGGCTACCGAGCTCTACATGGGCTCATCGCACGGTCCCTGGCCCTGCTCAGCTCTGTTGTCTGGGACCATCAGCAACCCAGAAAGGCTTGAGAAGACCAAGAGACTAGGGCCTGGGGAGCCTTGGGGCCAGCTCTGCATCTATCCAGAGGACTCATTTGTGAGGGTCAGGGAGAATCCTCCAGGAAGTCCCACTCCTGTCCACGCCCGGAATGTCCTCCTCAGTCCCTGGCTCCCTCCTGACGCCTGGCCACAAGTCTACATCCCTACCTGTTCCCCAGCCCCTGTTCTCAGTGTCCCCCACCCCAGGAGGCAGGTTGGGATCTGGCCTTCCAGTAAAATGACTTCTCTTTCATATTAGGCCAAGGCGAGAGAGCGGAGACATTTATGAAACTTTGTTTAATGTACTGAAAAGCCATCGGCCAGAACATTTAGGAAATTGATTTTCCTGGCATTGATGAACTCGTTTTATTTTACCCCAGTATTAATTACTTTTTTTTAAAACAAATTAATTTAAGAGTCGTAAAACCTAACAAGTGAGCCAAATGTCCATAGATCATGTCCTGCTCCGCCCCTCCCAATGCTGGTCCCCTCCCTCGATGGGTGGGGGCACCTTCTGTCCCTCCTCCCCTGCTCCTCTCAGAGGTGACCTGCCTCCCTCCTCCCCTGTAGGAGAGGCCTCCTCGCTACGGGACTACGCGGCCTCCACCATGACCGAGTTCCTGGGTATGTTTGGCTACGATGACCAGAACACAAGGGACGAGCTGGCCAAGAAGATCAGCTTTGAGAAGCCGCATTCGGGCTCCACCCCTGAGGCGGCCACCTCCTCCCTGCTGCCCACGTCCGACGACACTCTCAGTAAGCGGGCACGTTTCTCCAAGTATGAGGAGTACATCCGCAAGCTCAAGGCCGGTGAGCAGCTCTCCTGGCCAGCCCACGGCACCAAGGCTGAGGAGCGGGCAGGAAAGGAGGCAGTGGGCCCCCTGCCCAGCCTGCGGCTACCCAGCAACACAGCACATCTGGAGACCAAGGCCACCATCCTGCCCCTGCCGTCACACAGCAGTGTCCAGATGCAGAACCTGATGGCCCGTGCCTCGAAGTACGACTTCTTCATCCAAAAACTGAAGACGGGCGAGAACCTGCGGCCCCAGAATGGGAGCACCTACAAGAAGCCATCCAAGTATGACCTGGAGAACGTCAAGTACCTGCACCTCTTCAAACCCGGGGAGGGTAGCCCTGACATGGGCGGGGCCATCGCCTTCAAGACGGGCAAGGTGGGGCGCCCCTCCAAGTACGACGTCCGGGGCATCCAGAAGCCAGGCCCCGCCAAGGTTCCGCCTGCCCCCAGCCTGGCTCCTGCACCCCTGGCCAGTGTACCCAGTGCTCCCAGCGCCCCTGGGCCAGGGCCCGAACCATCTGCCTCCCTGTCCTTCAACACTCCCGAGTATCTGAAGTCAACTTTCTCCAAAACAGACTCCATCACTACGGGGACCGTCTCCACCGTCAAGTAAGGTGCTCCCCACCCCGCTGCCACCGAACCCTGGGACCAGACTGGGCGGGAGGCCCCTATCTGACTTGTGCAGCTCACGCCATGGACACATGTGCTGCTCACACCTCACGCATATTCACCGTGCACCCAGGCGCATGCACACACACACACAGGTGCACACACGTACTCCTGCGCCTACATAACCACTCGTGTGCCTTCAAATGATGCTCCTCACTGTTCATGGACCTGGACACGCTGCCTCTCTGTGCACACTCACATTCTCACACCCCGATACTGGTGCGTTCTCTGTTACCCATGGCAGGCTTCCTCTGCCTGCTGCCACGAGGGCCAGATGCAGCCCTGTGGTTGGTTGAGAAAACGCCACAGTGGGTTGGGTGCAGAGGTCCATGCTGGTGGCCCAGGCTCCCAGGCTCAGAGCCTGGGCCATGGGGGAGGCAGGAAGAGAAAGGAGGAGGCTGGGGTGAGGTATATACACTTTTCAGCCTTAAACTGGGGACAGGGGCATGGCCTAGATGGGAAATGGTCAGTCTGTGGGGCTGAGCAAGGTGCTCCTTCCACCACAGTGCACCTCCGGACCCTGAGGTGGGCCATGACCCAGAGCAGAGCCAGCTGCTCCTCTGGCAGGAGGTGAGGAGCAGCTCCCTAGGCCCAGCGGCACTTGCTGAGTGCTCTTCTCCCCTTGCCTCTGCCCTCTTCAGCTGGCAGCTCCCTATTTGCCCTGTGCACTCAGGGCCCAGCACCTGGCTTCCACGGCTTTCCCCCCAAGACCAGGCCTGAGACAGAGCCTCCAGCCTCATCTGCCCTCGCCAGAGCTGGGCTCGCCGAACCTCTGCTAGGCTTCTGCCAAGGGACTCTCAGCCCCACCCGGAGTGCTTCAAAATCCTCCAGAGCAAAGGAAAGAAGAGCCAGGGCCCCAGGGCAGGGAGCTGCCCACCAGCTGCTCCTGGGGCTTGAGGCCACCCCCTGTCCGCTAATCGGCTGTGCCCTGTGTGTCTCTCACCAGGAATGGATTGCCCACAGATAAACCAGCTGTCACCGAAGATGTAAACATTTACCAGAAATATATTGCCAGGTAGGCCTCTGAGGAGGATACTGCCATGGAGAGAAGGTGGGGGAGCCGAGAATGCCTGGGAACCACGAAGCCGCCATCTGAATCTGACCACCGGCCAGGGTGTCTGCCTCCTCTGCACCCCACTTCTTCTGCCCCTCAGCCCCTGCACACCCATTGCAGCCCCGTCCCCCAAGTGTGGCCCAGGCCACCCAGTCCTTAGGCATCTTGTACCCCAGGGAGGGGCCTGATGGCATAACCTGGCTGTAGGCAGATGCCGCCGCCTCCACAGTGGCCTGGTCCTGCCCTCCCATGGGGCCTGAGTATGGTGTCCAGATCTGCCCCTTTCTGCCCAGAAGGCAGGAGGACCGGCAGATAAAGAACCTGCTCAACACATCCCCTGTATCCAGCCCCTCGCGACCGCCGCCTGCTGGGGCAGCCCCGGGCAGGGCCCACTGATCTGAGTTTTTCCAGCCCTCTGTCACTACCTTCCTGGCCCCTCTCTTAAGCTTTGCTCTGTTCCATCTTTCCCTTATTATTATCGTTATTATTAGTGCCTCAGCAGATGGCCCTTTTGGCAGCTGCAGCTCCTATATCGATTGGCAAGTTTTTTCCTTCTTGGAGGAGGGTTTCTCTCACATCATCTCTGGAGGGGGGCAGGCAGGCTGAGACTGAGTGACCACCTTCTCTGTTGTCGTGGTGTGCCCTCCCCAGGGCTGGCCATCATTGTGGCTGTGAGAGGCACACCCCACAGCATCGCAGCCTACAGCAGGGATGGGCTTGCCAGGAGTGGGCAGTGGCCAGGCAGCACGGAGCTCCTGGCTGTGGAGTTGGCTGCAGACGAGCTTGCTGCCTCGGGAAGCCAAACAGATGCTGTGCTTTAAAAATTCATAGCTCTGGACTGTTTCAAGTGTCAGGAAAGCCCAGGACAGAGAGAGCCCTTGAACACCTCTCACCCACAGAGCCCCTGGCTGGGTCCCCAGCACCTGGCAGAGGTGGGCCACTGTGGAGGCTCGTGCCTTCCCCTCTATCCCAAAATACCTTCCCTGTTGGTCTCTGCTCGGGCTCTTGGCTGCACCAGCCTCTTCCTCCCCACCTCGGTGCTAGACCGGTTTGCCTCACCTGACACCCACTCCCAGGAAGGATGCCGCAGGCTTGCAACTCGATGGGCCTGGGATTTGGCCTTTGAGGCCCCTGCCCCACCGTACCTCATACAGAGCACAGGGCCCTGGGAACCCCAGTGGTACTTCCCTAGGGCCTGGGTGCAGAAGAGGCACTACCCGGGCCACGCCCTAGAAGAGTCTTCTCTGAGGCTGGCACCCAGAGCGGGGCCTGACCCCACCCTCCTCTCTTCAGGTTCTCAGGCAGTCAGCACTGCGGCCACATCCACTGTGCCTACCAGTACCGCGAGCACTACCACTGCCTTGACCCCGAGTGCAACTACCAGGTACGGCCATGTAGGGATGGACCCACAGTGCCTGCCAGGACGGGCCACCTGAACTTAACCTGAGCAAGCAGAAAGCCTGGAAAACCCACCATACCCCGATTCTTGCAAAGTAGCTAGTAGAATCTTGCACCATTCACATCCTCATGACAGTCATTCAAGCTCCCTTTCGTTCCGGGTCTGACACACACCGAGGACCCTGCTGGGCGGCCTATGTACCTTATCTCATGTACTCTTCCTGTGACCTTGTAGTTGGCATTATTGCCCGATTTTAAAGACGATAAAGTTGAGGTTCAGACAGATCGATGTTTATTTCCAGAGCCACCCCCTGCTGAGCACTGGGCTAGTGAATGAGGTGGGAGTTTGGGCAGTCTGCCCAGGGCTGCTCCCTCCGCTGGTTGAAGAGCCTGGCCTGACCCAGCCTGAAGGTGTGCTGGGCAGAATGAGCTGTCACTCATCCGAGCTTCTGCTGTCAAGGCCTTGCCGATTCATCTTGCTCCTGGGCATGGCTGTTGGGAGCCTAGGGGCGGTCAGGGAAGGGTCTGTTGGTTCTTGAACCTTTGGAATTGTTCCCTCTGAAGGCCAGTGTGCCAAGAACTGGCCTTGGGCAGCCTGGGTTATTTATAGGGAGACCTGAGGGCCCTAGGGCCATGGCCTAGCCCAGGTGCTCTCTGCACACGGGGGCTGGGGAGTCCCGCCAACTCGGCACTCTCTCTGACAGCGGTTCACAAGTAAGCAGGACGTGATCCGGCATTACAACATGCACAAGAAGCGCGACAACTCCCTGCAGCACGGCTTCATGCGCTTCAGCCCACTGGACGACTGCAGTGTCTACTACCACGGCTGCCACCTCAATGGGAAGAGCACCCACTACCACTGCATGCAGGTGCCCGCCCGCCCTGCCCTGGTGCGCAGGGAGCCTGTGGGGCTGATCTGCTTCAGGCCAGGCAGCGCCAGGACCTCGATGCCCACTGTACTTCAGATCTCTGTCCCTCCTACCCCCCACTTCCAAAAGTGGGGGTCCCCGTAGGGGGCATGACCCAGTGGGCAAGAAACCTCCCTTTGTCCCGGTCCAGGGCTGAGTTCTGGGGGCTCTGACTTGGGGAGTGTCTGGTGGGCCGGGGAGGGGCCTTTCCCATGGCCATACTTGGTGTGGGTGAAATTCAGTGAGCTGTTTATACAGACCGACATTTTTCAGGCTTTAACACCAAGAGCAGCATTGCAAATGATTCCTGAGGAGGTTTTTGTTTAATTCTTTGTTTTAATGCCATGCAGAGTCTGGGCTTTTTCAAGGTGTCAGGCCCAGGAGGAGCGACTTTGGGTTGCAAATAGCAGCCGCCTTGCCTCCCCCGGTATTTGTCAGGGGTTGTTATGGCCTCTGTGAAACAACCTGGGCCGTGAGGAGAGGGGGGCTCACCCTCTGGGCTCTGAGATGGTGCAGACACTGGCACGGCCCTGCTTTTGAGAGTGCTCAGATTCCACTAGTTTTTACTCAATATGGCAACGTTGCCTGCCTGGCCCAGCTAGGGTGGGGTGGGGTAGGAGGGCCCCGTGCCCAGGAACCATCCACTAAATAAGTCCCTGGGCTAAAGGTAACCTCCAGGCCTCCGAGGTCCAGTCCCATCCATCCCCTAAGACCTTTAAAGGTAGGGCCACCGACCGGGTCAAAACCTACCTCCTGTGAAGCACTGCTCCCTCACTGTGCCAGCAAGGGCCGGGATGTCTGCACAGCAGGGTCAGGTCACTCCCTGGGGCCTGGAGCAGATGCTAGAGGATGTCTATTTCAGCTCCTCTGTTGACCTTCCAGGGTCCCCCATTTGCTATTTAGAGGCATCAAAGCTCCCTTAAGCAGGGAGGTCCAAAGCCCCCACGACACCCAGCAGCTCTGACCTCGGCCCGAGATACCTGGACTCAGTCCCCTGACTGCCATTCTGGCCCATCCAGGTGGGCTGTAACAAGGTGTACACGAGCACCTCCGACGTGATGACCCATGAAAACTTCCACAAGAAGAACACCCAGCTCATCAATGATGGCTTCCAGCGCTTCCGAGCCACCGAGGACTGTGGCACAGCCGACTGCCAGTTCTACGGGCAGAAAACCACACACTTCCACTGCAGGTAAGCAGGGCCCTGCCGAGGAGGCTGTCTGGGCTGGAGGAGGGCAGAAGGCAGGGAACCAGGCCCATGGCCAACTGAGGGCCAGCCTGCCTCGGGAGAGGGACAGGAGTTGGGGGCTGCCCTGCCTAGGTCTTCCCTTTGAGACCATCCTTAGAGCCACAGTGGGAGTGGGGCAGGGCCTCCTCTGGGCCCCACGGGGCCCCGTGACAAGTTCCCAATATCCCACCCAGGCGCCCCGGCTGCACATTCACCTTCAAGAACAAGTGTGACATCGAGAAGCACAAGAGCTACCACATCAAGGACGACGCCTACGCCAAGGATGGCTTCAAGAAGTTCTACAAGTACGAGGAGTGCAAGTACGAGGGCTGCGTGTACAGCAAGGCCACCAACCACTTCCACTGCATCCGCGCCGGCTGCGGCTTCACCTTCACTTCCACTAGCCAGATGACCTCGCACAAGCGCAAGCATGAGCGCCGGCACATCCGCTCCTCCGGTGTGCTGGGGCTGCCGCCCTCGCTGCTGGGCGCCAAGGACACGGAGCAGGAGGAATCGAGCAACGATGACCTCGTCGACTTCTCTGCCCTGAGCAGTAAGAACTCCAGCCTGAGCGCCTCCCCCACCAGCCAGCAGTCCTCCGCATCCCTGGCCACCGCCACCGCCACCACCGAGGCCGTGCCCAGCACCACCAAGCCTCCCAATAGCAAGATCTCGGGGATGCTGCCCCAGGGTCTGCCTGGCTCCATCCCCCTGGCGTTGGCTCTCTCCAATTCAGGGCTGCCTACCACCGCACCCTATTTCCCCATCCTCGCGGGCCGTGGGAGTACCTCCCTGCCTGTGGGTGCCCCCGGCCTCCTGGGTGCCATGTCTTCTGGGGCAGCAGTTTTGGCAACCCCCGACACGCCAGCTCTGGTCGCCTCGGGAGCTGGTGACTCGGCCCCAGCTGCTGCTGCCTCTGTCCCAGTGCCCCCGGCCTCCATCATGGAGAGGATCTCTGCAAGCAAGGGCCTCATCTCGCCCATGATGGCCAGACTGGCTGCGGCCGCCCTCAAGCCCTCTGCCACCTTTGACCCAGGTGAGCAGGCTGGGCCCTCCCCAGGAAGTAAGCACCTCCCTGACCCCAGTAGCTCCTGGGTCTCAGGTTGCAGAGCAGGGGTTGTGGAAGAGGTGTCTGTCCAGCCTCTGCACCTGAGTCTCCTGCCTGCCAGCCCCACCCCTGCCTGATGTCTGCCTCAGCCCTGTTTATTTTCTGCTTGGGCTCATCTCTCTGGTGGACTCATTATGGCGACTTGTTCAGTTTTCCCCTCTGTAAAGTGGGACAGTAATCCCTGCCTCCTGAGGTGCTTGTGCATTCCAGAGGCGTCTGGGGGGTCCTTCCCTCCCTATCTCCTCAGCCTCCCGTGTCACAAGTCTAGCCTCTTCTGAGAGCCATCCCAGAGCCCCACTTTCCTGGGACTCCCCACTCGGGCCCCTTCCAGTTGTCATAGCAGGGGGCTCATGAGCCCAACCAGTGCAGGTGGCTGCACCTCACAGCTGAACGGCCCTCCAGGGAGAGCTTGAGGGACTCTTCCAGGCTCCT